CCTGAAAACACCCAGAGAGGGAGCCAGGCAAGTTGTTCCAAAAGGCAAGGGGCCGCTGCTGAGAAAGCCCTGTTCCTCATTCTTTCCTTCTGGATCTCCCTCGGCGTTAGGCCCCTCAGTCACCCGGCCTGGCTGGAATGAGTGACTCTGGCAGAACTGGGTGAGAGAAGGTGCTCTCCCAGATAGCGAGGGCCTAAACCATTTAGGGCATATATATAATTGTAAGAACTTTGAAATCAACACAGAAACAAATGGGCAGCCAATGCAAAGCGGCCAGCATGGGGGAAATATGTTTGTAGCTTTTCACCCCTGTAAGAAGTCTGGCCGCTGAATTTTGTACCATCTGATGTTTCCATGTCAGTCTCAAAGGCAGCCCCACGTAGAGCTAATCTTGAGACTACGAGTGCATGGACCAAAGTGGTGAGCGCCCCCACATCAAGATAGGGACGCAGCTGGGCAATCCGTCGAAGGTGGACGAGGGCACAGGTGATGACACCTAGGTCTCCATGGTGAGTGCCGGGTCCAAACTGCGAATCTCACTCTTGGTGGTAAGAGTCACCCCCCCAAAGGAAAGGGAGTTTCCCAGACCACTGATGTCTGGGACACCCACCCGAAGGAACTCCGTCTTGTCCGGATTTAGCGTCAGTCCATTCACCAGCATCCATTGATGAACAGCCCCCAGGCACTGCTCAAGGGATGAAACAGCAGCCACTGTTGTTGGAAAAAAGGAGATGTAGAGCTGAGTATCATCAGCATGCTGATGACATGAAACCCCACAACCCCTGATGACCCCTCCCAGCAGCCTCATATAGGTGTTAAACAGACTTGGAGAGATAACCCAGCCCTGCGGAACCCCACAATTGAGTCTCTATTGGGCCCAGAACCTCTCTCCAATCTGCACTCTCTGGGGATGGTCCTCCAAGAAGGAACAGAGCCAGGCAAAAGCCAGGCCACTGATTCCCATCTCCGAGAGAGTCCCCAGGAGAATACCGTGGTCGATGGTATCAAAGGCTTAGGTTTTTGGTTAAAACTTGTATCTGTTATATAATACCAGTCAATGTTTTTATAATTTGACTGCACCTGGGATTTAACAACAACAACAACAACAACAACAACAACAATAATATGCCATCAAATCAAATCTGATTTATGGCAACCCTTTCCAAGTTTTTTCAGGTAGCGAATACTCAGAAGTGGTTTATCATGCCTTCCTTTTGGCAGCATCCTATACAGCTTGCTCAAGGCCACACAGGCTGACTTTACTCACTGGGGGCTCAGTGGGGAATCAAACTCCCAACCTCTGGATCCACTAAACCACTGGTTCTTAACCTTGGGTTACTCAGGAGTTTTGGACTGCAACTCCCAGAAGCCTTCACCACCAGCTGTCCTGACTGGGGTTTCTGGGAGTTGCAGTTCAAAACCATCCGAGTAACAAAGGTTAAGAACCACTGCACTAAACCACTAAGCTAGCCAGCCAGCTACATAGCAATATAAAACTCTCAAGTCCCCCTTAAATTAATGGGGCATATTGATAATCTCTATTGCACTCTCAATGCGTTTTTGTATTTCTGCTTCACATAAGAATTGCCATTATACTGTTCTTCCAATATGATATTTCTTCTTCTTCATCCCCCTCACACTTCACTTACCGGTATGTTGGGAAAGAAAAAAAAAGTACTTCTTGTTTTACAAAATTCCAAATAAAATAAGCCCTCTGTGTTATACATGCAGTGAACCCTTCATTTCCAAGAAACAATTTACCAGTAGTGAATTAATTAGTGAATTGGTCATTAAGGATAGCGAATTTCTACTTCAGTAGCTGTGCAGTATGAGAAGCATGCATATGTCAGAACGATTTATTGCAAAATATCCAATGTAGGATTTTGAAGGGTTTTTTTTTTTTTAAAAAAAGGTGTCATTTCAAGTTGATGGCATTTTAGCACAAGAGCTGAAAAGTGGACTGATGCAGTGTACTATAACTTAAAAAAATAGAGCTTCTTAGTTGAAAATGAATATGGATTGGAGGGTTCATTGTTGAAACCATGAAGCTTACCATTTTATGTTGTTGTTTTTTTCCGGTCAAAGTTCATCGCTGGGAGCCACCAACAAGTAAAACTTGCTAGCACTACATGCTAATGGACTGCAGTCCCCTGTCTGTCCAACTTTACTGGAAGGGTGAAAGAAGGCAGATAAAACACTGTTTTTACTGGAAAGTGTTTAGACTGTGGAGGTCATGAAATCTCTTACTCTGCTGAAGGCTTCTGGGAACATGGAGAGTTCCGGTCTTTTATAAGAGTAATGAATAGCACTCACTGACTACTTATGGCTTTTTGGGTAGTGGGGGTGGGCTGTCAGCAGGAGTTATTGCTCCTCCTCAGTGTAATGCGTCAAGATCCAGTATGCCAAATACAAAGTCTCTCTGGTGGCTTGTTAATATGCTTTTATTTTTTGAAGAGATAATATTTGTATTCAAGACAGTGTCAGGGTTATACATAAGCTAAGTAAGCTATAGTTTAGAGCCTTCTGTGGGTCTTGTAAATGCAAAACAAAAATTTGTTTCAGTTTTACATAATGGTCAAAGCAATACACTTTCCTGCAGTAATACTATGGAGCCTCTTAGACTCAGGGCCTCAATATGTCTTAGAATAAAATTAGACAAGACGTTGATCCCATATCTGGAAACAGTGCTGTTTTAAGTGATTAAAGATGCCTGACTGTAAAAGGAAATAAAAGGTGGAAGTATTATTGCTCATTGGGATGTAAGCACTGGCTTCCTTTTTCAGCCTGATTGCTGAAATGTGCATAAAAAGGAAGCATTGTTTGTTGTAATCTTCAGTCTGCCACTAACTAGAGGTATGTTTCTGTAAAATTGATACATGCTTTAAATGGAGAGCCAAAACTCAAAAAGCTGTAGGAACAGCCTTGCTGTACTCAAAAATAGCAAGGTGGATGACTTAGTCATGCCAGATGTCATCATACAGCATGTTGGAGCAAAGAGGCCCACCATGACTGATACTTAAACATTTTTTGTGAAGAGCACAGCTTCAAGGGCACCATGATAAAAGGAAAGACTCCAAGCTGGGAGACTGCAATGGTCACCGTCTCCTACTCCTGGTCCAACCCACCAACTGCCTCTGCTGCCTGCCCACTATAGAATCAATTGAGAGGGAGAGGATGGTGTTTTCCCAAACAATAGCTGTCTTTGCCATTGGTTAAAAGGCAAGCAGAGATGGGGCCATAGCAAGCAGTCCCACCCCTGATGTGAGGTCACTTTCTTCCCTACCCTATATATGGAGACTTCCACACAGCTCGGAACCCCACATGACTGGGGTTCTGAATTGTGTGGAAACCTCAGTGAGTACAGCAGGGTACATGGCCTCCCTGCTGTAGGCATCCATTGTGTACATGTGGATGTTTTCCAGGGCGGGTCTTTGTGACAATGTCACACTGGGACAGAACTCTTTGGCATGGCTTCTCATGTGATGAGGAGCTGGGCTCTTGAGGTGGGCATTTCCCCTTGTTCTTAAAAAAATCCATTAAAAACTTGAGGTATCTGTGAGGGCTGGGGGGTTGTTGCTCAGAGCTGTGGGGACCACATATGGACTCTGAGAGCCTCATGTGGCTCAGGGTCTACATTTTACCTACCCACCTACCCCTGCATGGGTAAAAATATTGGAGAAAAGAGACAAGTGGAAGAATGTGTTGCGAGGTGGAAAAACTACTTGGTCTTGTGCTGCTCAGAAATTTCCAGTTTACAATCTGGACACCATGGACAATGTAGCCACTCTGCTGTCCAGAACTGGCTTCTTAGGACAGGAACTGCAATCATTATATTGTTGTTGTAGGCTTTCCACGCTGTTTCCAGTCTGCCCTCAAAAAGGCAACATGGCTCTCCAAAACAATTCACACAGGGCCTCTTGAATTTTGTCTAATGATGTCTGCTTCTTCAAACTATTCAGACCAGCGTCTATTGTGTCCCTTGACATTGCCACCTTGTCTCTGAATCTTCCCAGCTAAGTATTGTGCCCTCAGTCATGACGACACCTTGTGAGCTCCACCTGTGAAACAAAAGAGCACAAAGGATGATTATCCTGAATGCCACAAAAGCATCTTATAGATTCTGGTCCTTTTTGGGGAGATAGTTAACATTGTGGTGACTGTCACTTTTAGAATTTCTGGAATAGGAATGTCTAGAACTCACCCCATACTTTCTTTTCACTGGCCTGCATTTCCAATCATACATATAAAAAAATCAAGGTCTGCTCTGTATCTGTTCAACTACTGAGTTCTCAGGAGGTGGTGGTGTTATTAATAATCCATATAAATCACTTTAAACATGTCAAGTGCTTTAGAGTCATCCTCTCATTCATCATTGCAACAACTCTTTGAGATAAGTATTTACATTTTTTCAGAAGGTGAATCTGCTAATGATTTGCCTGGGGCAACTCCATGGTCCATGGCTGAGCTAATCTATGAATTCTGGTCCCCCAGGTCCAAACTCTGTGATCTCAGGGATGAATGTAAAGCTACAACATGAAGGTTATTTTTGATGTGTCTGAGTAGTACACTACTGTCCACTAACTAAGCAAATCTTTTGCTACCCATAGATGATGAAGTAGTTAGAGTTCATATGGACCTTACTATCCTTCAATAGTAAATTAACCAAATGAAAAGACTAACTAAGAAAGTTCAGATTCTTGACCCTAATATAGTTCTATCCTCAGGGCAAAAAATAGAAGGTACATGATAGTCTTTGCAAGCAGAGCTGATTCAGATTTTGATCCTTGTTTCCAATTTATGAGGTTACGGTTACTCATATTGCAGAATTAAGAATGAGCTTGTTTGACCATGTTTTATATTTGCAGACAATCAAGTGCCATGTTAGCAATATTTATTTAATATATAAAATCATGTTCAAGGATATCAAGTATTTTCCCCAAGCAAAATGCTTCACTTTCAGAGCACAGATGAATAATATTACATTTTTATTATATTTTCAGAAATGTTCCACTTGCCATTTGCACTTCAATGGTTATCGTCACAGTTGGCTACGTCTTAACCAATGTGGCCTATTTCACAACTCTTAGCCCTGTGGATCTGCTAGCCTCCAAGGCAGTGGCAGTGGTAAGTCAAAGCAGAATAAAGTATGTAAATTATGTAAGTGAATAAAGACTTCAGAATAGATTCCTTGATCATAGGTGGAAAACAAAATTTATGGGATTCATTGTTCAAAACTGTAGAATGGGGTAAGGCACTACAAAAAATCTCTAGCTGATTCACATTTCCTCTCTTTTGCCAGACTTTTGCTGAACGTTTAATGGGGAGTTTCTCCTTAGCGGTCCCGATTTTTGTAGCCCTCTCTTGCTTTGGATCTATGAATGGTGGCATCTTTGCTGTTTCCAGGTGAGTTGATGGAATATAACATGTGAGTGAAGATAATTACTTGCAATGCAGTATGTAGACTAGCCTGTTTTTCAAGGAGGACAAATTAATGACCACCTAATAATAGGCACAGCATAAACACACAAAGAATTTTGCAGAGTTTCTCCCCTTCTCTTTGAAACCACTGGATAAAAAAATCCTACAGCAAACAGTACTGCACAACAGTACTCCTGAGGTCTTGCATAGCTCCTCTTAGATTTTGTGGGGCTTAGATGTTTCTGGTGAGTTGAATTGGAAGGTGGTTGTTTTCATTTTTCATTGCAACCTCCATAACCCCCTCAAACAAACAACAAACAAACAAACAAAACTATTACCACGGGCTGGAAATATCTCCTGAGCTAATTATCAGGTGATGCCAAGACACTGCAGATTGGAGTGGAAGATTTTTGTTGTGTGAGCACCAGCTTAATTAGGCCCTTGTCCTCAGTGAGTCCAATATGCTAGTGATAATAATTCAGTTTAGGAGAGAGAAGATAAATATGAAGAAGTACTCAGAAGTACCTGCTCTTGAATGCTGTCAAAGGTGGGAGCTGAAGATGGATTTTACAGACTTATTTTACAAGGCTCTAAATTTGTTTTCATGATTTCTTTTAAACCAGAACTTCTGATGCTTGTCTTACATACGAACAAATAGTCCTGCTGAGGATAACTTTAAATGTGTTCTACATCTCTAGTGAACGGCTTCCATTCATCTTGGTAATGAGTGTCTTTAAAAGCTGTCCAAATTTATTTTCCCACCAGGATGTTCTACGTCGCATCCCGTGAGGGTCACCTTCCAGAAATTCTCTCCATGATTCATGTTCGGAAGCACACTCCTCTACCAGCTGTCATTGTTTTGGTAAATCATACAAACAAATGTCCCTGCACCAAGGCTGCAGAGCATTGACTTGCACCGGAGACTTCAAATGCAACTTGAATACATCTTCTTGCATCTCAGTTATTTATTTCCATTTCATAGGGTTGGCTATGTTTGGAGAGGGGTGGAAGGTAATTGCAAGAGTGATCTATTTGAGGTACTCCTCCTCTGACTTGCTATTAGTTGCCTTTAACTCTCTCAGGCTGGCACCTAAATCACACCTCATTACTTTTTATTTGAAAGGTTGAATGAGAGTGATTAGCTAAGCTCCTCTTGTTCCAATGACTCTTCCTAGATAGGGATGCAGAGTAATAAAATTCTACATAAAGACTACAGTCTAGTGCACTGTCTGGGAAGACCCTGAAGTCCCGTTATGAGTACTGTACTTTGCAAAGAAAATGCAAATAGGAGTAGCAGATAAAGGGGCATTACCATCCTCTAAAGGGTTTTAATTTTAGGCTATAAGATAATATTTGCTCTTTGAGTTCTCCGCTTTCCTCCTATATTTATTCCTTGAAGATTAAACAATATGTAATCCTTAGCATATCTACTTAGAATACATTTTACTAGAAATTATGGAGTTGATTCAGAAAAAAACATGTTTTGGATTTTATCTCTCCTGGTTTGGCTCAAATAAAAGTATGAAACTGAGTGATTGCAGTGTGGTTCAGTTGTAATGAATGTCCTTGAGATCCCGAAATGTCCATTGTTTATCTCTTCCATCAGAAGAGATACTCACCATCAGTACAATACAGTAGTAACAAAGCAATTTTATGGTTGTAAATAATTGCATTTCATGTTTATAACTGACTGAAAATCCTTCCTATAGCCATTTGATGTTTGAGGGTTAGGATCCCAAGGAATGATAATATTTGCAGAAATTATAAGCTATTTTAGGAACTGCACAGTGCATCCTCTAAAGAGAGCCCGTGTCATGTAGTCAAGTGGTCAAGCAGGACTCGGGAGAGGCCGATTGTGTAGGAATAAGATTTGGGAGGTGCACAAAAATCACTAGGTGACTTTGGACCAGTCAGTCTTAAGAGGGGAAGAGGAGAGCCATGTATGCCCCTTTAAACAATTGAAGGAAAGGTACGTAGAATAGAAACATAAGTAAGGCACAAAAGCTAGACTCCTGTTTGCATACAGGATCACGTGATGGCAATTGTGTAAGTTATTTCTCCCCCTGAAGCAGGCTTTCCTTCACATGAACTGAGAAGCACTGATTGTAAAATTGGTTGCACTATCATTTACACAACCAGTTGTGTAAAGGAGAGTATACTGTGTGGGGGATGCAGTGAAATTGCCCTTACCTGCACATAAAACTTGAATAGAATTTTGGCCAAAATAAAGAAAAAAAAAACCGAAAAGAGATTATGTAACTATTTTTACAGCACTTACAGACTTTCAGACCTGTTGAGAGTCACACACAAACTTCAGAGGCTGGCTGAGAGGCAAGCTGGAAAATTAGTCATTCCCCCAGTGATTCCGTTACCAGTGATGATTATTCTGAAACCAGGTCTCCAATGTTTTCCAGATATTTCACCAAATATCCCTTTGTGAGCTTCAGATCTTAAAAATGAATAAAATATCAGGGCTATTCTGTCCTCGTTTATCTTCCCAAAGAAAATAGATTATTAATGTTAAAAGAGACAGAGATTGAGAAAGAGAGAGAAAGAGACTGTCTGTGAGTAGGCCACCATGTTCTGAATGCATTTTTAAAACTTATTTCATTGCTGCAGCCCAGTATTAAACACTGTGGAGAGCCAAATAGGATGCATATAATAAAACTGAGTAAACAGCAGCCTTTGGGCCAGTGAGTCACCCTCTTGCATTTGATCTGTTTTGCAGTACCCACTGACTATGATCATGCTCTTCACCAGTGATCTCTACAGTCTCTTGAACTTCCTCAGTTTTGCCAGGTGGCTTTTTATAGGCTTGGCTGTTGCTGGGATGATTTATCTCCGATATAAGCGCCCTGACATGCCTCGTCCTTTCAAGGTAACACTAGTAATGTGACCTTTTAACACAAATACTTTTCTTTCGTACTTACAGTACATCTCCCTACCCATCAAAAAACAGAAGAGGTGGTGGTGGTTTGTTTGTTTGTTTGTTTGTTTTGCCTTGCTTTTATCAGAAAAATACATTGTTTTTGTAATAGTTCACCTATAAACTTTGCTTCTCTTTAAAACTGAGGTGGGACCATATGGCCTTCTAGGTATTGCTAGACTAAAAATCTTATCATTCCCAACCATTGCCTATCCTGCTTAGATTGTGATGGGGGTTGCAGTTGAATAACATAGAGTAACACATTCTCTACCCCTGAAGGTCATTTTCTGAGGCCTTGCTCCAAAAGTTTTCACTCTCAGATGTTAGGTGGATAGTAAATGGGAGCACATCTATTTCATTGTTGGCAATCTTCTTTAAAGAATACCTTCCCACCTTCCCATCAATTTATTTGATGCCAAGTCTGCTATCTGTCTAGCATGAGCTTAAGCCTGCTCTGTTCCCTTGTGTATTTTATGGATAACAACTGTTTTCAGAGCTTGAAAGTAAATAGCAAATTGCTTGAAACTAATCTCTTCTTGTCATGTTTGGTGGCCCTTGGTCCATGTGAGGCCCCAGTGCACCCTCCCCCCGCACGGTGTAATCTCGCAATTCGCAGCACTGGGAGGTTGGGTGAGCTATAACCTTCCTGTGGACTTACTAGGACTCAACGATCCAACTTCCTTCCACACTACCCGCCAGCGTGACCAAATTTAACAACAACACCCATAAAACAGCCTTACCTCGATCAGTGTGGGATAGGCAAAAAATCCCCGGGACTACCGTCCAATTAAGTAGCGGGTCAAAAATTCCTATCCAACCCCAAATGGTGTCCAGAACACTCACACTGAATACAAAGTGGGTGGGTTGGCTGAGAGCCTTGAAAGAGGCCAAATCAGGGGTGGGGCTTTCCTTTAAAGCAACTCACTCCTGCCCCTGCCCTCCTGGAGTGCTCCCATGGACCAGCTGTCTCGCGCTACTCCAGAGGGGGCAGCAAAGAGCTCTGTGCGGCGAAGGAAGCCTTGCCGACGGAGCCGCCATTATAGTCACAGGGACATCAGCTCACTAAATCATGGAGGAGGAATATTACATGGCTGATGCTATACCTCATGCTCCGCTGTGATTGCTGAGGCAACAATAAGGTACATGAGAGGAAGGTTTGTTTTGTATCAAAGGCCAGCATTTTGTAGTATTTAAATGTGTTCAAAATTAATTACTATTTAGCTACTTTTTAGAAATGGCAAGGTAGAAATGTATTTTTCAAAAACATATCTTTTGGTAACAGGAATTATATAACTGTAACTAACAACTTTTTTAAAAAGTAACTTTCCAAGTTCTGGTTGTTTTATTTTGCTCATTGCTATCAATTGTTGTCAACTGAGTTGACAAGAAAAGAAATTTTCAATGACATGTTGGTTACAACATTTCATGAGGCAGTGTAATCTGTTGCCCAAATTTTATTTGCCTTAACAGATTTCTGACTGTTTATGCATTGTCCCTAATAAAGAAAATCAAAAGGTGGTTCATAATCTTTGCACCTTCTTCATTATAAAACTGATCCTAATGGACGCTTACAAAGGATGCCATCTTTGCTATAGTTGCTCCTGTCTTATAATCTGATGAACGACTGGGAAAGGGAGTTAGTAAGGAAAAATATCCATTTGCAGCTCTTTAAATTTAAAGACTGTATAGCAGGTGTGTGTGCATGTTTGTGGGTAATTAAGCAGCTGCTGGCATGCCTGCTGTATTAAAGCACTTTTAATTTGACTTCTTGCCTTTGAAAAGCCTGCCCTGAACACCTGTGTTTCTTGAAGATTTGGTGTGTGCCACTGTTTTATCCAATGTTCACTTCATGAACCTTAAATGCCAAAGTCATTCAACAGCCAAGGTTAAGCACTGATGTCTTCATCTGTTTTCCAGGTGCCACTCTTTATTCCTGCCCTGTTTTCCTTTACCTGCCTCTTCATGGTTGCACTGTCACTTTATGGAGACCCTGTCAATACTGGCATTGGCTTTGCAATAACACTGACTGGTGTCCCTGCATACTACCTCTTTATCATATGGGACAAGAAGCCAAGGTGGTTTAGACGGCTGTTAGGTGAGTGGACAATGAAAGGGGATCATTTCCTTTGTGTGTGTGGTTATTTTTAAAGAGAAGAGTATGATACTATAACTAAACATTGTGAATATTTTTAATTGGCTTCATTGCCACAGTAAATCATTAACTGGATTCTTTAAAGGTATAAATATTATGAGCTAAATCCAATGTTTACCCAGCTAAGGTAAACCCATTCAATCAACTTTGGTAAGTCAACCCTTCTAAAATCCCACTGTTCCAATTAATCTATTCTTATTGGGCATAATAATCAGAGTTTGCACTATGTATTTAATGTGTAAAGGACGGAATCCAAACTGAAAAAAATTATACAAGTGCAATGTAAATGTCAGTTGTGAATTGCTGTTAGTTAAGATGGCAATGTAGGCATTTGCTGTTGCACACCAGTTATATGACTGGGCAGATGACAACAAATACATCTGCTGCCTTACATTGATGGACTTAATGCTGACAAGCATACATAATAAAATTCTGGCCAGTGTGTATTTCTGCAGGCAGAAATAAACAAGTTAGCCTTGTACTAATATAAGACATCACTCACAAGGTGATTTTTATTTTTGACCAATATATTTTTAAAGTTAATGAATCGTCCTTGAATTCCTACCTTCTCCTCAAATCCTATTATCTACTAATTTTCTTTTTTCATAAAGGGACAGTGGCTTTTACAGGTGACTCTGTCATTCTCATAAGAAGCAATTAACACTTGTATTTTTGCTAGTGAAAACAAAGTACAAATTGAGTCTGTGATTTGTTAGATTATAATGGTGCCTCAAATTGGGAGAAGCCAGTTACTCTGGTGTATGGAATTGTGTGCCTGCAGTGGAGGTCCCCCACTGTACTTTCTAGAAATGTAACCTCCTGTCAAGGAGGTATTGTCTTGTAGTAAGTGAGGGTTTTTTCATCTATTTTTAAAAAACTGAATAATTTTCTGTGAACATCCTTGAACTGGAGCAGTTGTATGGCCTTCACTTGCTTTTCTCATCGATTTCTTACACATCATTATGTTCTCTGAAAAAAACATGTGGCTGTTTCTTCAAATTAATAAGTGAAAATATAGCTTACTGAAGCAATAGGCTCATACATCCTTGCCCAAATTATACTTAGTACTGAACTGGTACTTTCCCTTAATAGTATTACTAGGCATATTGTACTCAATTTGGTTTAACTCTCTATGCTGTGAGTTACTTGGACCAAACAGATATACTGAGAGATCCATATTTTCCCCTAATAGCCTATTCTGAGCCAGTCATTTCCTATTACAGCCCACAGTATTTGATACATGACTGGATTTTGGTTGTATTTTGTCAAATTTAAACAGTGCAGGTCAGGTGCAAAGCAAATACAATCAATGTCTGATCAATATTGATAAGCCATTAAGAGATGTCAGCATCAGTCACCATTTTAAGGATTAGCATTAAATGGAATAAATAGCTTGTACGGACTATTCCTTGTGCTTGATTTATGGACCACATGCAGTATTCAGTACTTAAGATAGTGTTACATGAAATAAGCATTAGGTTTGCCATGATTTCTTGTAGCTATGGGGAACTGGAAATTTATTTATTCAGTAATCTAAAACTCTCATTGATGAATGACTTATTTTTAATTTTTCTATGTAATTGACGTGGTGGCGCTGCGGGCTAAACCGCAGAAGCCTGTCCTGCAGGGTCAGAAGACCAAGCAGTCGTAAGATCGAATCCACGTGATGGAGTGAGCTCCCGTCGCTTGTCCCAGCTACCGCCAACCTAGTGGTTCGAAAGCATGCAAATGCAAGTAGATAAATAGGGACCACTTCGGTGGGAAGGTAACAGCGTTCCGTGTCTAAGTTGCACTGGCCATGTGACCACGGAAGATAGTCTTCAGACGAACGCTGGCTCTATGGCTTGGAAATGGGGATGAGCACCGCCCCCTAGAGTCGAACACGACTAGACAAAAACTGTCAAGGGGAACCTTTACCTTTACCTTTATGTAATTATACTGATGTTTTCAGAGTGTTCAGAAACACATTGAAGGCATGTACCAAATCCTTTTGTAGAGATAATCATTACGAGGAAGGTATGATTTGGGTGGAGAATTAGGGAATGTTTAACTTGTCCCCCACCCACCATTCTTTATGTTTGAATTGAACCCACCTTCCAACTACTCTGCTGCCTGCAGAATTCTATGTAGGGTGTTTAATCTTGTATTGTTCTGGCAGCTAGCGGGGAAACAGGAGTTGAAGATAGTTTTCAGTAGAAAAGCAACAGGTAGAGTAAAGGTTAAGCAAGCACTTCTGCTGTTTCTTCATTCTAAATTGCACCCTCCTGAAGCTATCTTTCTCTGAAAGTATAATAGCTGCCAGTTCTTGTGACACACATTAGTGAGCAATGTGTTACTTCTTTTAAAAAAATCAATAATTTCTGAATGAAGAAAACAAAATAATACTCTCTTTTTTTGTGCTACACATATATTTGTAAAAGTTTGATGACATTTTAGGAAAAAAATAAATACATCATATTATTTCATCTAATAAAGATCTCTTATACATTAAAACTGCTTAATGTGTAGACAATGCTTTTGTAATGCATGCAATTATATAATAAAGTCTATTAACAAATGAGAAGAATTCAACTACTTGACATATGAAAAATGAACTTTTACACAAACAACTACTATTTATTGGTTATTTTAAACACTAGAGACATAAAAACAGAATAAGAATTCAGTACTTACAATGCAGAGATTTCCACATGTAATGGCAAAAGAATATTTTATTCCAAGATATCTCCCAGTGAAATCATCAGTATTTGTGGATTTTTTAAACCTAACAGTGCACATCCAAGAATCAGAAACTGAGTCTTTTAATATTTTCAGTGTTAACATTTCTGAAAACATTAGGAAACAAAATATTACTTATGCTGGTTCATATGCTGCCATAGCACTTGGAGAAAAACAATTTCTTTAAAGTCATTTGTATAAATAAATTGGATTTAAAATAAAAATACATGATGACCTATATAGGAATCATGCCTTCTATTAAAAAGGAAGTCTGCAGGGACAGAAGAAATCTCATATTTCACCTGATAGTCACAATTTCCAAAGGTCTTGGATCATCGCTTCATGAATCTGTCTGGCCACAGGATGCCAGTATTGAACCATTTTACTTAAACAGGAAAAATGAAAGCACACCCTGGAAGGAGATTATTGAAGAGCCCTGTTTTCTGCTGGCTGTACCAATGCTGCTTGAGTAAAACAACTGAAGCTGTTAAACTCCTACTGCATTAGCAGCATTATCCTAAGCACTTTACAGTGCAATTCTAAGAGTGCCTGCTCAAATGTAGGATGCTTTACATTCAATGGACCTTATTCACATGTAAGTGGGTATAAGTATCCTAAGATACTATTACTTGGCAGGATAGTGGTGATTCTCTAGATAAAGAGACACATTTCTTATGTATTGCAAACTGCATTATAATTTGCTGTATCGACTGGCATAGACCTATCCATATATAATTTCCCTTTTAAAATTAAAATATAATTATTACTGTCAGTTTAAATAGGTATTGTTTCATTAAATGCATTTTTCTACTGAATATGTTTTCTTGAGAATTTTAGTAAGATTTAAGATTTGAGATAAAAATCATGTTGAACTAATTGGGCTATTAGGTTGATGTTATATATTTGAGATGAGCGTGAACTGAAAAACCAGTTGTTCGTGATGGTTCGTGGCTACCCACAAACCATTGCAGACTGAGATTTGACTTACAGACCAGAAAAAAACCAAAATGGAACAAAAATGGCCTGTTACAGGATTAATCGGTTTTCAATGCACTGTAGGTCAATGGAGACTTGACTTACAGACTTTTTGACTTGAGAACCGCCTTCCAATACGGATTAAGTTCTCAAGTCAAGACCCCACTGTAGCTTCTCTTTGGACGGGCAAATGCACAAACACAATGGGTCCAGCTCCTGGAAGGGAAACTGGGCCACTGTTTCTGATGGTCATGGCAGCAACAAAGGTGGCGGTAGGACCAGGTAGGGAGAAGACAAGGACCATGGGAAGGAGGCACACGAGCATCCATTTTTCTGAAGCAAAATGAAGTGCCAAGGTGAAGAAAGTTCAGCAATTCATTTTGCTTTGGCCAAACAGGATTCCCTAACTGGGTGGTAAACTGAACCATGGACCAGCATGATTTGGTTTTTCTAGTTCATGATTTGCTTCGTGCCCATCTCCATTATATACTGTACATTTGCATGTAACATATAATTTAGTCCAAAATTAAACTACCTCCAGAATTCATGTCTCCGAAGTTTCGTGACTGCATATAAATGATATGCTTTTCATCTCCTAGGTTGGGATTTAGTGAATGTTTTCTTAGAGGTAATTCCAGTGGGTACAGTGGGAGTTAATTATTAAAAAAAATATTTTTATTTAGTTATTAAACTTTCATACCGCACCAATTAACGCTGGGCACTATTCTGGGCATTTTACATCCAAATAGACAGAAAGTAAATCTCAAACAGTACACTGAAAAGTAAACTCTACATGTAAACAAATAAATCAATTGTCTAATAAATCAAATCATGTGTTGTATGCTTCTTCCAAACAAGAAGGTTCCAAAACTTTCAATATAAACTTTGAATAACTTTCTTATATTTTTTCTTTACAGACAGCATAACATCAACACTTCAAATAATTTTAGAAGTTGTTCCAACGGAGGAGAATCTGACATCATGATCTACTGTAGTTGGAGAACCAGTGTTGACCAAACAGCCTGTTCGTTCATCAGCTGAGGAAAAGAGCTGTCCTCAGTTTCTGGAAAATCTGGAAAATTATATGAGCGTCAGTTTGAATTCATACTTGACAAGAACTATAGATGGAACAGTTTTATGATGTCAGTGTTTTACATGTGGTAATCTGGACTATAAACAAAGGCAATGGTCTTTGGAGAAGGTACAGAACCTTTGTGGAATGAAGTGCATCTTCTCCTCTTATGGAAATAGAGTCAGTGTAGTATTGTGTCGTTACAAGGGTTCCAATTTTTCACATTGATAATGCTCATTGTACTGTAAATGAACATTTGTTTTAAAAATGTTCAAGATAGCTAGAAATAATATAATAGATGATGTAGGAGCTTACGTTTTGAGCTTGAAGGAAGACAGACACTTTTCTTTTTTACACTACGCACACAGTAATGTATTCCAGTTACCTTCTCAGATCTTTGAGGTATGAACGGGCACCCTGATACTTAGGTAGACATAGCAATAGATGCGCATAGAGACCTCCTCTTTATGACTGGTGCTGACACAGCTCTGGCAACATTCTGTGTGATATAATGATATCCTACAGATTTGTTCTGCTGTACTGCCTCATTTGCAAATCAACATGGATATATTATACAATCTGTTGTTGTATTAGATAGTGATAATTCAGCAGTGGGTGCTTCCATGTGTGGCTTTGATCACACAGTCATCTTGCATCATTCATGCAACCTTTTAGAGTGGGGAGATCGCTTCCATTAATAACCTTCCCATCTTTTCTGTCTTTTTTCTTCCTTTCCACCAAAAGAGAGAGAGAGAGAGAGAGAGAGAGAGAGAGAGAGAGAGAGAGACATGATTAGCTACAGAGTGTCTTCTGACAGGTGGGAGCAGAGCTTTTGGAGGCACCCTGAATTATTGTCGTTACCACTTTGTTGGCTGAAAGGGGTTTATTATTTTTAACTCCTGCCCTGGCTCTGTCATGCCATACCTTTGTGCCACTAGTACAAAGGGAAGTTTGTGTTGTTTTAACACAACAGTTGTAAGAATGTAAGAAGCACACTTATGTATCAGGCCTTTGTAATCTAGCATTCTGTTCACACAATAGAAAACCAGATGGCTGCAAAAAGTGCCCAAGCAGGAGATGAGTGCAAAAACACCATCTCACTCATACTTACAGCAACAATATAGTCTAATTAATACCTACTGTGATAGCATTATGCTTCTTGATGTTCCCACTGAACATCACAATGCATCCTCTCTGGTTGCATATGCACAATCTTCTGAGATAGGGTATATCACCAACACAGCTTCAGTGTTGTGTTTCTTTACTGTAGAAGACCTTGTGATTGATGCTGTACATGTAAGAACTCATAGGACTGGACCATAAGGGAAGGTAGAATATTCCAAGTAGGTTTTTTTTAAAGTATAGTGAGTTTCCTCTATAACTTAATTATTATTCAGTCTGCTTTCACTATGAATTTTTCTTCTTCTTCATTCAGTATTTCCCAGTTTTATCAATGGGTTTAAATGTGGCAGCTACCAAAACTTTAGTTATTTCGGTTGCTAAAGCTTTGGAATGTAGGACTTGTGGCCAGAACCCAAAGAACTGGGCAGATAATTATGTGCACCTAATGTTGTTTTGGGCTGCTGTTTCCCAATGCCAAATGGCAAACTGCATTTGAAACTGAGCTGTGTTTTAAAAGTTGTTTACAACATGATCCAGTATCTTGGTTTAAATAGAAAGAGAGATCTAATTTTGAAACAAAGAGAGAATCCACTAGGTGTGTTCATGTACACCTCTGTGTTTGCTAACTAAAGTTTCATCCCCTGTCTTGTAAGCTTTGTCTCAAGTATATCAACTAAACTAAATTAAATAATAAATTTATCTGTCAAAAATATGCTTCCTATTGTCGTCTTGCATCTTAAATTAAAAAGGTACTGATCATGTGAATGTTAATTTGGAATATCATAAGTTCGCAAAAGAGGTGTAAACTTCCTCTCACAGTAGCAATATAACAAACAAATGTGAAGCAAGATAAATTGGGGATTCTTAAACTTGTGTCTTTTATGGTCATAATTATTTCTAATGTGGACCATAAATACATAGCTGGAATGCATAGATACTGAAAAGATACTGTTTTTCAAGCTTCACCTCCTCAAACTGTGAATATTCATAAACATTCCTGCAAGTATTCCTGGGGTTTTACTGGCTGGGTTTGCTCACACTTAGTAAGCTAAGATTCCCAGGTAACCTGGCTTTTTATTTGCAAACAATGTACGGATGTATGCTCCCTGATAACCTGTGGTGCAGATGGCAACAGCTACATAAACTGTGCCCCTTCAATTGTGATTTGCCTATTACAATGTCCACATCTGGCATTCTGGATTGATTTCAGCCCACTGCCTCAACAAGTTAGAGAACTAAACCAACTACAAATCATAGCTCTAGCTTGTCAGGGGACAGACCAGCCAGAGTGCCTGATTCAGAAGTCGTGGCAGGCAAATCACGGAGAGCAGGTCAACAAATTGTTTAGCCACTTCTGTTTAGAAAAAGATTAATAAACCTGATAAACGTATGTGTTTATTTAAAAAAATTATCCCACCTTTCTCCTTATAGACAGTATTTAAAGCTAATGATAGTGAGTATACAAATGCCAAAAAGGATCAAACAAACATCATACTAAAAACATAAGCAACACCAAAACACATTCAAAGCAGTAAGGTACAACAATCCATTTAAAAAACCCACTCAGGCAGCCAGTCACTCATGGAAAGTATGCCTGAAGATAAAGATCTTCGCCTGCTTGCAGTTGGACAGTAAAGATGGGGCCAGCCTAGCCTCCTGTGGGACAGACTTCCAATGTCTAAGAATTTTGGCTTACCATCATCTCCAAACACGCTCCCACCATCTTTTCCTGTTTAAAATGCTTGATTTTCCTATAATTTATAGAAAACAAAAATATTTTTCCCAACTTCCACGTGTTTCCTTGAAATGGCCAGTTATCTAAACTTACAGCATTTTGTTGTGATGCTTCTCCTGCTATTCAAAAGTTCTTAGACTTTTTTTGGCAGGTGGAAGCTTAACATTTTTTTAAAAAACTGTTTAAAGGCATCACTTTTCCATAGGATTTGTGGCACTCTCACAAGCTCTGTATCCTTAGAGGAATTGCCTCCTTCATCAATTGTGCGATTTCATATTCTGTACATAGTGAGTAATTTGTAAAGTAATAGTATGACTTTTGGAAAGGCACACAGGAGAATTATTACTCTAATTAATAATTCCATTGCATGAATATTTACAATCATTATAATAATGCACAGCTATATTAATGAGGACCCGATTGTGTGATTAAAAAAACAACAAAAATCTGTAGCTATACCAGGCTCAAAGAATAAACAGTGTGGCATCTAAAACAGATGAATAGTGCTGAGCAGTGCACTAGAGACTGGAATTCTTAGGCTTTCACTACCCTGTTTACCTGAAAATAAGACCTAACTTGAAAATAAGCCCTAGTGTGATTTTTTCAGGATGCTTGTAATATAAGCTCTACCCACAAAATAAGCCCCAGTTGAGTGGAACCCCCCCCCCTCACTGTGCAGCAATCAGAAGAAGGTGACAGGACTGTATTTGAATGAATGTAGATTGCCGTACATGAAAAAAATAAGACATCCCCTGAAAATAAGACCTAAGGTGTTTGTTTTTTTTGGAGCAAAAATTAATATAAGATTCCTAGATGTATGGGAAACAGGGTATATGTGATTGCAACACTTGTTTCCAAAGAGCTGAAACAGCTGCAACACAGGAAGAGGTGGTGAAAGAAATTATTTAGGACAGAAAACACACTTGGTGTGAGAAATTTATCCAACCACCACCACCACTTTTTCCCAAATTCCCCTTGCCATTCCTTTCAGCGTGGACTTACTATTAGTCTCAGCAATTGGTCAGAAGAAATGTGCCTGGTGGGAGAGATTGCTGGGGGCAACATGTCAAGCAAGACAAAGATTCAGCATCCCTCTCCCACTTGCCATTTTGTTGGTTTGAATTCCAGCCCCTTTACTTTTCAGTTGTGTGTCTGGTTTGCAGATGTTCTGCCATCACATCTACTTAAGAGTCTAAGTACAGCATCTAGACCTAATTAAATGCCTCCACGCAGAAGTGTAGCAAGAAGGAGCCATGGTTTGTATCAATAAGGCCTTAGAGCCTACTCTGCTACAAGTGCTTGTATGAATAAGGATGGGGAGAATAGATGTTGGGCAGTTCTATCCATCTTCATTGACCACCTACCTATTGATTCTTTGCTGCTTTGCACAGTATGGACATTGTTGGTCTGGTACACAACTAAATAATCTGCGGCTACAGTAGCTACTTCTGTCATACAATACCTTACTCAAAGCTTGGGAAGCTGCATTTTAAAATAAATTAATCCCTGTTACTCGTTACAATATAATTTGTAAAGGAACCTGCTCTTGCTACTTATTACAATCTTGTAAAATTAAGTCATTGTGTTACTTGTTTTGCTAATTGTTGCTTTTATGTCCTTTTCCACTGGAGTGGAATTAGGATTGATAACAAAAAGGTGGAAAATCATGAAAAATTCCTGTTAAATTGCCTCTAAAAAGTCTTAAAGCACCCCTTATAAATCACTGGTAGAAGGAACTAGAGAAGATTTCTGGTTAACCACAATCATCTCAGAAGATCTTTAAGTTTCTAATATTTTCAACGTCTATTGCATCCAATAATGTAGGGTCTCTGCTTCTTTTTCCTAGCAAAGAAATGTAGAATCCTTAGTTACAGTCGTATTTTACTGAATTTAAAGAACATTTCTGATTAATTTAAAGTCCATATAAAGAAGGGTTTTGCATTACTAAAATGACCATGAACCGGAGGAGCTGTGGGTTTAAACCAGAGATGTTACTAGGGAAGAATGCAGAAAGGCAATTCCTATAGCAAAAAGAAAGGAAAAACCTAAACGGTTGACAGAACAAAGGCATCACAAAGTGTGATTAAGGTATTGTTACCCGGTGTGGTGGTGCCATTCCCAAGGTTGCTAAGCCACATGGGTGTTGTAGAGTACCTCCGCAAACATCAGTCCCGTTCATAGGAGGCAACAGGGCTGCAGCTTTAATGAGAAACTGGAGAAGGCCGCCCATCTAGGAGAAGGAAAACTCTGATTCCAAACCTCCACTGCCTTGTGGCTATATCCACTGATGGAAAAGGCTTCAGGAGTTAACCTCGAGGCAAAATCTGGAGCTGGAGTCCTGGAGGCAGTTCGTGTCATTCTGTCAACTCCTGCAACGTTGCTGAAACCAGTTGTATTGGCTCTTGCCTTTCCGTTGGACTATTTCAGTGATGTACAGAGGGGGGATTTGCTGTTTGGGTAACAGCCTATCCTCCATATTATTTTACCCAGGCTTCGTGCCCGAGTCCACCTACCTGGCCTGCTCGGTGATGGCATGGAGGCCGATGGCGGCGCCTCAGTGGGGGTTTGAAGTCAGAGTTTTCCTTTCCTAAGCACAAGCCACTGAGAAAGTGCTGGATGAAACTGCCTTTCATCTTCCATTTCTGATGATGGTATCATGCCTCCAATTTCATATCTTCTTCAGAGTCATTGTAATTTGTGGTCACTGGTGATCCTTCCCCGCCACCTATTTCGGTCCCCAAAATGTTAGAATACTTCACCTGATGTTTTCTTGGAGGAAAGCTCTTCTGCTTTTTGCACTTTTTGGTTTTCAGAAGTTACCACTTCCTTGCAGAAGTTTTTGGTACTTCTGCAATGAAATCAGGCTGTTAAAGCAGCCCTTTAGGATCCAAAAAACAGAGGTATATTTTAGGATGCCCAATAGGATCTACAAACAGATTTTTAAAAGGAGTACCTGAAAGAAAACTTTCCCCACCCACCTCTATGTCGGAAGCATCCTGCTCAGTCCAGTGAAATAGATTTGACTTCCTCGCCCCAGTTGTTTTGTTGGAGGAAAGGTCTTCTGTCTTTTCCACTTTTTGGTTTTCAGGAGTTGTTGCCAAGCTGCTTTCCTCTGTTGAGGACATGATGACTCTACCTAAAGTGGCATCACAAAGTGTGATTAAGGTATTGTTACCCGGTGTGGTGGTGCCATTCCCAAGGTTGCTAAGCCACATGGGTGTTGTAGAGTACCTCCGCAAACATCAGTCCCGTTCATAGGAGGCAACAGGGCTGCAGCTTTAATGAGAAACTGGAGAAGGCCGCCCATCTAGGAGAAGGAAAACTCTGATTCCAAACCTCCACTGCCTTGTGGCTATATCCACTGATGGAAAAGGCTTCAGGAGTTAACCTCGAGGCAAAATCTGGAGCTGGAGTCCTGGAGGCAGTTCGTGTCATTCTGTCAACTCCTGCAACGTTGCTGAAACCAGTTGTATTGGCTCTTGCCTTTCCGTTGGACTATTTCAGTGATGTACAGAGGGGGGATTTGCTGTTTGGGTAACAGCCTATCCTCCATATTATTTTACCCAGGCTTCGTGCCCTGGAGAGGACACTTCAGCTTTGCGTACAGCATCAAAACACTAGACGCTGTTCCAAGTCCTCCATACAGAGCACGTTACCATAGTCTCTCGAGACTGAAGGATGCCTATGATGATGATGATTTTACTGGTATGAGGAAAGCTGTGTGTCATGAAGAATGACAACACAGAGACTAACTCAACACTTTAAACCAGTAGTCCCTACTCGGATACTCTCAAGATATGATGAGCTACATTCCCTATCACCCTTAGTGAGCATAGTTCTAGGTTGTGGAATGACAATTATTACAGGGAGGGAGTTTTGAAAGGATCTCTGCATAATTAAAGAGAATTGTAGACTGGTCCATAGTCCAATGCCTCCTAAAGACAAAATGCCATTGATGGATTGATTTCTTATGCAGC